AGACCTTAGCGCGCCTCTCTCCATATATATATATCTATATATCACATAGATTAAATTAATTTCATAGTGATGAAAGTAGATTAAAAACGCATAGCAAGCGATTAGAGTTCGATTTAACTTAGGGCTAGGGCTAAAATTCGATTTAATTAAAAAAAACCACACCCTATTTAATAAAAAAAAAAAAAAAAAAAAAAATAAAAAAAAAAAATAAAAGACTTTTTTTTTAAAAAAAAAAAAAAAAAAAAAAAAAAAAAAAAAAAAAAAAAAAAAAAAAAAAAAAAAAAAAAAAAAAAAAAAAAAAAAAAAAAAAAAAAAAAAGTTTTTTAGTAAGTAGCTGAGAAAGTCTTTTATAAGTAGAAAGATCTAATTAAATAGTAACGTAATATTAATAAAGCTTCTTATAAGACTTTCTAATAGTCTGCTATTAAGATATAGAAGAATTTAAATCCGCTAGATAGTCGATATAAGATATAAATAGCTTTAAATAGTCGTTATAGAATATTTCTCTAATATCTCTATTATTTAGTTATTATAATATAAAGTTTCTATTTTTTATAGCTAACGATTTCTTAAAAGATTCTCTTTAACGAGGTTAAAGCTTTTCTAAATGTTTCTAATAGAGTATAATAAGGTCTCTTAAATAATGAATAATCTACTTAATATTCTTATTATAGCGTATAACTATATATTTCTTCTAATATAAAGACGCTACTATAATAATATTATAAACTTTCGCCCGATACTTAAGATAGATATAGACTTCGAGCTTATAAGACTCTTATAGCTAGATAGCTTAAGTATAAATATTACGTTTTAATAGCGATAGTAGAGTAACGATAATATATAAAGTCTCTAATAGAGAATCTAGTATAATATCCTTAGGTGAAATATCTAGATAGCTGATAGTTCTTAAGTTAATTAAATTATCTATATCTACTAGATTAATATTCTATTTCTTCTTAAGCTTATAAACGATATCTTCGAGAATTCTATTTATAACTTCGATTATATCTATAAACTTATAAGAGATAGAGAAACTATAGTTAATAGCGATATCTTTTAACTATAGAAATTCGCGAAGTTCTTTATAGTCGAAATAATAATCGCGATCGAGGTAAAATATATAAGACTTTCGATATATAAAGAAGAATAGTTTTAAATACTATAGAATATCCTCGATGTTATTAATCTTATATATAAAAGATATATTAAAGCGAGATATATAGTAGTCGAGATTAAGAATATACTTATTTTCTACTTTAATAGTATTTAGAGATTTAATAAAGTTTATACTTATTAGCTAAAATAAATATATTACTATAATAGAATAAAGCGGCTATAATCGAGTTATAGGTTTATATTAAGTATATATTAAGTAGCCTTCGATATATCGTTTAATATTCTTCGACTATCTAAACTAATAGTATAGATTTCGAAGTTATATTATAATATTAGTTTTCGCCTAGTATCTACTATTATTATATGCTTTTATAAGAATTATAAGTACTTTACTCTTCGAGACACATAGTAGATAGCTTTCGATACCTCGATGAAAGATCTATAAGATATTATTATAAATACGATAATTATAGATCTTACGTAAGAGTATAGTAGACGATATTCTTATATATTAATTCGAAAGAAGCTTATAGATATTATTATACTATAGAAAGTCGCGATAAGCTTTAATTTAAGTAAGTTCAATAATAGCAGAGGAGGTAAATATAGGAACGCTATAAATTATGCTTTTATTAATAACTTTATTACGCTTAGTACTTAAGAGAGACTTAAGAAAGGCTTCGAAACTATTCTTATTATTCTTTTATATTTATCTTAAGCTTTACTTTATTAATCTATTAGAGACTTTCTAAATAGATAAGAACTCGCTATAGTTCGTATTAAATAACGTTCTTAATAGCGTATTAGTTACTTTATTTCGAGGTTCTAGAATATAATATATAATAATATTTAGGCGCTATAAGATATCCGCCTAGTATCTATAGATTTCTTTATATAAGTTTAAGGTAAGGAAATAAGTAAGCGGCTTATAATTAGTATATATAATCGATTACTTAAATAAGTACTTATAAAGATAATCGTATTTCTTATAAAATATAATTATCGCGTATAGCTTTCTTTTATAAATAGAATACTTACATTAAGTAGATATAAAGGTAAATAAATTATATAGAATTAAAATCTTAATATCTCTAGCTACGATAGGCTTTGACGGTACTTTATTAATTATAATAGTCTTCTATAGCTTACTAAATATAGTATAGAAAGCCTTTTATAAAGTATAGACGTCTACTTAAATAGATATTTAAAACTAAGTAATTACGTACTCTACTATAAACTCGAATATATTAATATATAGATAAACTATTCGATTAAGGTCGATATTATATATACTTATTTTAATAGTATACTTAACTCGTAGTATCTCGAATAATAATTACTCTACTTAAGTTTATCTCTAAATAATCTTATTAATTAATCTTAAGAGAGGCCTTACTATCTTAGTAAAATTTCTAATTTAACGACGTATAATATTAATAACTTTAAGAAACTCGCGTACTTTAGACTAGTTTAAAGATATCGACTACGTAGTAATCTTCTTAATTCGTTCTTTTAATATATATATAAGATCTTTAATATAATATATAACGTTAAGGGCCTTAATCTTCTTAGTAAATAATTTAAGCTTTTTAAAGAAGAGTCTAAGATATACCTATTCGACTCTAAATAAAAAGTACTCTTGTAAGAAATCGTATTACTCTTAAAACGAGTTAAAGTCGCTAAATAGGTTATTAGTATAGAATATAAGTATAGATAAGTACTTATAATATATTAAGTGTAAGAATAATAATTCTTTATAAAGAGGTAATAAGGCGTTAAAAGCTCTATAATTAAGCTTAGTTATTATAAAATTAATAGACTTCGAACTCTATTATATTCGTATAGGTTATAATTACTCAATATCTAAGATAGTAAAAATAAAGAAATAGCGATTATTAGGGTGTAAGAGAATTATAAGATATACGTGCTTAAGATTAGCGGTAAATAGACTTTTATAATAAAAGTCTATTAGATTATTATATATCTTAAAGCTAAGCTTTATATATATATCTAATAGATCTTTCTTAATACGTAAATAGTCGAATATAATTCGAGATTTATCTTTCGAAATAAGATTCTCGACTTTATTTACTACTATAGTACGAGTATTTTATTATAAAAGCCTTTTATTAGCTACTTCTATAAGCTCGTAGATACCCTTATTAAGATCTTACTAAATAATTTTTCGAAGCTATTACTCTATATATACTAATTAACGTTTTTAATATATATTTAAAATAAACTTAATATTAGAGATAATATATACTCGATAAGTAATAAGATCGATATATAAAAGATCGATTAAGTTAGTACTATTTAGATAATAATAGTAATATAATAATACTAGTATATAAAGTCTCGCTTCTTTAATAGATATAAGTAGTTTAAGCGTAAGTTCTATAAACTCTATCTAGCATTTTAGAGTTATAGATAATATACTAGACGAAATACTTAAATATAGAATTAATCTATTTAAATAAGAAGATTTATTTAATTTAATAGATAGATTAGTAGAAGTTTTTATATCGATCTAAAAGATACGCGAATAATAAGATAAACTAGATATATTAAAAGAGCTAATAAATTATTCTAATATATTAATAGAAAATAAGCTATCTACTATAATAATTAAAGAGCTATTATAAAAGACTTTTAAGATAGTAGAAGTCTTCGATAAAACGTTTTTATAGAGTATATATAATAAAGCTTTTAGTAAAGATATAGATTTAATTAGTTTTATATCCTACTGAGAACTTAGCGAAAAGGCGATACGAGATTATAAATATTCTCGACGTTATTATTACTCTTATTAGATAAAGAAGATTTAGAAGATTTAGAGGAAGAATCTAGTTCGTTATTCGATTTAACGAATCCGAGTTTCGATATAAAAGATTTAAGATATATTAATAAGTTATAATCTTTATAAAAAACTAACTTCGAACTTATAATTTTATAAATCTACTTATTAACGAAAGTATCGCTAATTATAATTTTAAATTAATGTATCGAGATAAGAACGTTTATCGAATAGAGCTATAATAGTTTAAGAATTAAACTAAGATACTCGGTCTCGCCTAATTTCGTAATATAGAATAGCTCTAATATTATAAAGTAGCGAATATTACGGAGGATACTCTTTATTATAAGACGAAGCTATATTTAGTACTCTAGTATAGTCTTATAATAGTCTACTATATATATAAACCGACTAAGATATATAGAATATATTTATTCTTCTTTATTAAGAGAGAGAGAATATAAAAAAAAAATAAAAAAAATAATTTTTAAGTAAGAAAACCCCCCAAAAAAACCACCCCCCCCCCCCCCCCCCGCCCCTTGAAAGGAAACACCCCCCATCACACCACCCCTCCCTCCCCACCTACATAGTTCGGTAGCCTTATTATCCTAGTTCTACCTCACCCATACTGGTATCGCACCTATGCTGGTCCTGACATTATAATAAGGCTCCTTCGTATACCCGGCGAAGAGAAATACAATCGGACACACTCCATTCGAATTAGCGGACGAATTCAAAGAAATGCGCTGGCAGGGGCTTTGGCAAGAAATCAAGTTGAGCCATCGTATCCCTGGGTAAGCCCACCAGACGGGTAACTCGATTTCATAGCGAATCGGACTCGCCAAAACTGTGGGCGAGGGATAAATAAGGCATAGGGACTATTCGTACGACTAGCGAATTGATAATAGAAAGAAATCGTCACAAACCCCACACACACAGTGAGCCTGCTACAATGGCAGCAAACGTACGACCTCTTCACTGAGCATGTCGACCCACACACCACAGTGAGCCTGCTACAATGGCAGCAAACGTTCGACCTCTTCACTGAGCATGTCGACAACACACTCATAGTGAGCCTGCTACAATGGCGACGGGAACAGACCCGGCAAAACGACCACGATTTGACCTCTTCACTGAGCATGTCGGTAACACACATAGTGAGCCTGCTACCAAATGGCATTCACCACATTCAATTCTTTCCCTACCTCCCTACCAAACCTACGAATCGACAAGCGCGGCTGAGTTGAGACAAAGGATGGAACGGAGGAAGAACTTTTGATGGCAAGAGCATGGGAGACACAGGGCAAATCTACAGTGAAGCTCCCAGGCCAGGCTGCCAAAAGGTGTTGGAGATAAATGCATGCGTTGGATTTACTTCAATTCTACCGAAGGACTATGGCAAGGAGAAGAACTCGGAGAATCTTGCTGGCACGCAGGCAAGATATGGCCAATATCTCCAGGATCTCTGCAGGACAATGTGGGTATGGCAGGCATGGATGGCACAGTCAAGACCAGCATCCGATCCGATGTTTTCGACTACTACCACTACACCTCGGCAAATCGTCTCCGGTCGAGGCCTACACGGACTATGGATGTTTGGAGAGGCAAGCAATGGGCGTGCATCTCCGGTCTACCAGCCATAGGGGCCATGGCTATTTGAGAGGGGGGGTAGTGTTACAAGCGTACCCTTAACACACCACTCAGCCCTATGGCCTAGTGCCTTGGCAGGAGACATCCCCTACTATATCATGCCTCCTTCCCACCTACATAGTTCGGTAGCCTTATTATCCTAGTTCTACCTCACCTATACTAATATCGCATCTATACTAATTCTAATATTTATCTTCTTATTAATAGTAATAATTAGAATAATAATTAGAACTATAAGCGTCTCTATTCTTCTTCTTAAAATTATAATATAAAAGAATATTCTAAATTTTAAATCTTTAAATATTATAAAAATAAAATTCTATAATTATCTCTATTTATATATTTATTTTAACGCGTTAAATAAGCTTAATAGACTTTATATTTATTCTTCTCTCGAATTCTCTATTACTCTTCTATTCTACTCTATTATAATTCTTCTAAGTATCTTAAATCTATCTTTATCTAATTAAACTTATTAATTATTTATAAATAAATTTACTTCTCGAGCTATCTTAAATCTTTTTATCGAGATTAAATCTATTATTATTAATTCTCTCTAATTATAAGCTTATTAATTATCTCTTTATATATTATAAAATATTAGCGATATATCTTAATAAATTTATAAATATTAAACTTATCGAAGTACTTTTTATAAGTTTATTATCTTCGCTAATATAATTATTATAATTATTAATTAAATTTTTATATAAAATATTATTAACTCTTTTAGTCTAATTCGATATATTAAGATCTTCTTTAAAATTAAATTTAATCTATTTAAGCTTATTTTCTTAATATTTTATATAAAGAATTATTATTAGAATATAGAATATCGCTAGTAAATAATATTTTTAAGTATTATAATATCTTTTAGCTATTAAGAAGTATCGCTTATATATAATAGTCTTCGCGAGAGAATAAAGAATATTACGAGCTATTCGAGTAACTATAATATATTTAAACTTTAATTTCTTTTATTATTTTAGAATTAAAAGATTCGCTAGATTATTAAAAGAAGCTTTATAAAGATTAGAGATAAGATTATAATTAGAATAATAATTAGAAGACTTATTATTTTATCTATATTACTAAAGCTAATTATACTTATTCTTATTATTTAAATTCTTAATCTTAAATTTTATCGCTTAATCGAGTATATTCTTATTTAATCGACTTATTCGCTTAACTCTTTATAATTAACTACTTATATTAATATTTTAATAATTTTAAAATATTCTTTTAAGTATTTTTTAATAGATCTTCGCTTATAACTTCTTTTTAGTATTAATCTTTTAATTTAATTTCTTTAATTTTATATTATTATAATTTAAATATAAAAGCGTAGCTTATTTATATAGATAGCTTAAATTTAATTAAATTTAATTATAATAAATAATTAATTTCTCGCGAGCCGTTTTAAAAGCTTTAAGAAGTTTTTTTTTAAGAAACTCTCTTTCTTCTTAATTTTTTAAGCTCTTTATCTATATAATTAAATAGATAATTATAAATATTAAAAACGTAATAAATTATAACCTCTTTTTCTCTATTTATTAATTTTATAAATTTATAAAAAGATCTAATAAGCTAAATTAAATATTAAATTTATTAAAAATTAATCGAAAATTATTTAGACGCCTAAACTATAGTTTCTATTTATAATTATTCTTTATTATTTAATCTTAAATAGATAATTAATCTATTTTTTAAAAAGTATATAATATTAATATAAAGAAGTAGAGCGCGGATTAATATCTAATAAGTTAAATTTTAGCGAATTTTAATATTTTAAAAAAGCTTAAGAGGGCGTCTTTAATAATATTATTTCTTTTTAAAAAATTAATATTTATCTAATATTAAAATATTTTTATTTTAAAGTTATTTAATTTATAATATAAAAAAGATCTTTTTATATTAATTATTAATATTAATATATATAATAATTTTTCGAATTTTAATATAATTAATAATATAATAATTAGAATAATAATAAGAAATATTATATCTTTATTAGAGTTATTGATAAGCTAATTATACTTATTTAAACTTAATTCTTATCTTCTTTATTACTTTAACTTCTCTAAAATTTCTTATTTATTAAAATAATTCTAATATTATCTAAAAGTTCTTTTAAGATTAATTAAATAATATATATTATATAAAGAATATATTATAAATAATTTAAGAATTTAAATTCTCTAATATTAAGCGAGTTATTTATTACGAAAATAGAAAGATAAATAATTAAATTATTAAAGAGTATATTATTATTACTAGCGTTATTAATTATAAGTTTAAATATATAAATTTAAATCTTATATTTTATAAGAATTAAATTAATAATACTTATAAGTTTCTAGTTAGTATATTTATCTTCGATATATTTAAAGTCTATAAAAATCTTATATTATTATTAATTAATATTAATAAAAAAGATTAGAATTATTATAAATAATTAATAATTATAAAGTAACTAATAATCTAAAGCTAGAGAGACTTTAATATTATCGATTAATAAATTTTTTAATAATTTTATCTCTAGCTTTATAGCTTTTTTTATTAACTAATTCTTTATAATAAATATTAATTTTAATTATATATTAAAGTCGAGATAATATAAAAATTATAATATCTTAGAATTATTAGTAATTATAAATAGAATATCGATATTTATAATCTAGTAATAAAATTATTTCGAGAAATCTTCGCGTATAAGCTTTCGATCTTCTAATATTATAAGAGAATTTTAATATTATCTTTTCTAGAGTAAATAGTAAACTAGATATTCTATTTATCGTTTTATTTATTAATAATTCACATTATCTAATTTAGAAATATACTTAATTTTTATAATTATCGATTAAATTTATTTATTATAAATTACTTAAACTAGATTTCTTAATATATCTCTTAAACTTAATATATATTATTATATCGCTTATTTCGTAATCTATAAATAAGTAAATTAGAATCTTATTATAGTAATAATAAATAATATATAGCTTCTCGAAATCGATAAGCGTATATTTATTAAATTATATTTACTTCTAGAATTTTCTAATTTCTAAACTTTAATAAATAGATTAATAATCGCTATTAGATTTAAACTAATTCTATATAGCTTATACTATCTTTATTTACTATTATATTTATTATTTCTTATTATTAATATTAAAAAGAAAATAAGATTTATTACTATCTTTATATCGAAATATATTTATTAATATTTTATATTAAATATCGTTAATTAAGAAAGCTAGACTTACGCTAAATAAAGATCTAGTTAATATTTTAAAATTAAGATATTTAAAGAGAAATTAAAAGAGATATATAAATAAATAAAATATTAGAAATAAAATAGAATTAATATTTAATATATAAATTCTATCTTTTTACTATAATAGAAACTTATATTACTTTAATAATATATTATTATATTATTTTTAATATTTTAAATTAGAGATTAACTCTTTCTAATTAGCGTTATAATTAATAGTTATATATTTAAGAGTATATAATAATACTAATATAGAATTAATATTTAATTTAATTAATTTAAAACTCTAATTAGTCTAGCTATTAACGCTTTTCTATTAAATATAATATATACTTAATTTCTTTTAATATTAATACTTATTTATTATTATATTATTTTAATTATTAGAATTAGAGATTATATTTATTTAATTAATATTCTAATTATTAGTTATACTAATAAAGACATATATTAATATTTTAAAATTATTAAATAAATTTTATTAGACGTTAATATAGAATTAAAATTTAATTTAAATACTTTAATAATTTAATTAGCTAGACTAGTTATTATCTAAATTTTTTATATATAAAAATTAAATCTTCTATCGCGCTAAAAATATTTTTAAATATTAAGATCTTTCTTATTAATACGACTTTCTCTTATTTAAGTAATATTATAATATCTTTTACTCGAGCGTTAAAATATTAAAATATCGCGTTCTTCGCTTTTAATTAAGCAATATCATCTTTAAGCCAATATTTTTAATCTTATAAAAATAATAATTAATTTATTATAAGCGAAAGCGAAAAAGAAATAATATCTTTTTTATTTTTATAGTAGAAGAAGAGAAGAAAGTAAGTAGATTAATTATAAGCTATACGCGGCTCGATATCTAAAAATAACGAATTAATAAAGTTATAATATTAAAATAAAGAGCTTTTTTTATAATTAATAAATATAAAATTAAATAGAAATTAGTTAGATTAATAAGATTATCTTTAATAGATATATCGCGTATATAAAGAATATCGAAATATATGAAATATATATAAAATATAAGAGGGGGCGTATATATATAGTTATAGATATCTAAAGTATATTTAAAATATAGAAAAAAGCGCTTATATATAGCTCTACGATATATATTAATAAAAAAAAATTAACTTCTTTTTTTAATTAGTTTTTTAATTAATATTTAAACTTAATTTATCTTTAAATAGTATTTTATTCTAATAAGATTTTAATTATATAATATTAATTAACTCGATAATAAATATTTAATATTATTCTTTTCTAATCTACCCTCTTCTTTCTTAAAAATTCTTTTTATTATTATAGTATTTATATTATAATACGCTTATTTATTATAATACTATCTATATCTAAAAAAAATAAAATTATTTTCTCTATATTCTATAATTAAATTAAATTAATAATATTATTTTTATAAAGTAAATATATATCTAATAGCGCTATATCTCTTAATATAATAATTAATTATAATATTAATTATAGTTCGTTAATATATAATATTATTATTTATTAAAGCTATTAACTCGATAATCGCGAAAACTTAAGAAATTCTTAATAATTTATTAATTATTAATTTAGACTTATTTAAATTATTAAAGCGAAATAAAGATAAGACTTCGCGAAGATAAAAATTAGAAAATTATACGCGAAGTTTAAAAAGTATAATTATAAATAAGAAAAGTGCGTAATTATATTAATTAT